ACGACGGGTTTGATGGCTGCTAGGATGGGCCACAAGGTTGGGCGGCTGGTTGGATTTTTAGGACAATGTTGGATTTTTAGGACATCTTTAAGTTTTTATTTTTTATTTATTTATTTATAATTTTTATTTGGGTTTGTTTCGTTTGCAGTACTTGGTTGGATGGTTTGGTGGAACAATATGACTAGTTTGTGGGTTTTTTTTTTGGGGTTTTTAATTTCTTTGTGTGGATGGAATGGATGATTTATGCATGTTTGGTTTGGCAGATTGCTTTTCTTTTAACTTGGTTATGCATCATATGCTGTTGATGTATATATGTAATGTTAGTTAAATGGTTGAACAAGTTCAATGTGACAGTAATGATTTTAACATTGGACATATGTCTTGTAGGCCATGCCGAAGTCGTGGCCATGTCTAACGGGGAAGATACTAGTAACGACGACTTCGTCAAGCAAATAAACCAAATGGTTATTCAAATACAACAACAAAATAATTAGACATACGTGTAATCATGTCGGTATGTACAAGAGTATTACAAAAAATATATGTTAAAAACTCCATGTCGAACGTCAATATTGACTGAAAGTGCATGGATATGTGAATTATACAATGGACACATTGGTCGTTTTGAAGAAAATGTATGTATGCCAAAAGAAGTATTTTCTTTGTTGTGTGACACGTTAATTAGAGACTTTGGTTTATGTGTTAACCAACGTAGCCATGGATTAGCCATGGAAGAAAGCGTTGTAATGTTCATACATGTGTTGAGAGGGTTTAAGAATAGAGCCATCCAAGAACGGTTTCAACATTCGAGTGAAATCGTATTATGCTACGTCATAATGTTTTGGAGACGATGAAGAAGTTCACAGTTGTACATTGTAGGCCAACAACAAATCAAAATGTTCAACATCCTCACTTCCGGTCAAAAATGAAATACCTACCATTCAAGGTACAACTTTCATATTTGAAAAACATATTGTTTCTTTACGTCAAAGTTTTGGCATATATTGAAATTTGTTTTGCTGTTTAATTTGGAAATTAGGATTGCATCGGCCCAATCGATGGCACACATGTTGTTGCGAAAGTGACAGGGCCTAATGCAACTACCTATTTTGGACGCAAATATTGTCACACCCAAAATATCATGGCGGTGGTTGATTTCGACATGTGTTTTACCTTTGTATCAATTGGATGGGAAGACAGTATGCATGACAATAGAATTTTTGCTGAAATAATCAACAATGAAAATGTGTTGTTTCCACATCCGGAGAAAGGTACAGACAATTTTTTTTTAAAAATTAGTATGTAGAAATATGCACACAAAGCTTATACCATTATTTGTTTACATCCGGTAGGGAAATATTATCTTGTTGATTCGGGCTATCTTAATCGAAAGGGTTACCTCTCATCGTACAAGGGCTACCGTTACCACCAAGAAGATTTTCAGCGAGGTGCAAGAAACGCAGCGAACCCTAGAGAATTATTTAATAAGGCACACTCGTCGTTGCACTGTGTCGTTGAATGTACCTTTGGGGCGTGGAAAAATCGATGGGATTTTATCAAAAATGTGCCTTGTTATGATTTTGCGACTGCGCAGGTGTATTTAGTTAGTTCGTTGATGGCATTGCATAACTACATACGGAGAAATATGGGTAATCCAACCACTGTTCAACCCATAGTAACAGAGGCCGACATAATCAATGCCATTCCTCTGTCAGCACATGGGGAGGGAGATGGACTAATAGTTAGGGATGATGACCCACATATGGAAAACGTGTGCTTTCTCGTAAGACATCATTTGGTCCACATGCGCAATCACGGCATGTTGGGAAATATATAGGAGGAATTCGGTAACCCAAGTTCATTTTTCTTGTTTGTATGTGTACGAAATTGTAGCACCATGTTTAGTATTTATGGTATTGTGCATATGTACGTTATGCAATTAGGTATGCACGTTCCCATTATGGTACACTCAAGCAATTGGTTATTGTCGGAGAGGTAATTACCAACAAATGGTTCTTATTATGTATTTGAAAAATATTATTTGTACAAACCTTTATTGGGGACTTGAAAATTTTATTTTATTAATGTATTTGACAGATTTTAGTTAGTGTTATTTATTTATTTATTTATTTATTTTTGCAACAGTGGCTTGGTGGAAATGGCATACTAGAAATGTTTCCCAAATTTTGCAGAACTTTTTCGTTAATTCCGTACAATTTTGGTTCACAGAGTATTTGATTTGTTTCAATAGTTTCCCTATTCAAAATCAGTAACCTACCAAAACCAATTTCCATGAAACAATTTACAAAAAATGTAAAAAAAAGGGAAACCAAAAAAAAAAGAGTGTAATTTCTAATGCAAAATCTGTATATATTTGGAGGTGTTATTGGATTTGGCCATTTTAAGGCAATTTTGTCATTTCACTTTTGCCAACATCATTTTCAATGCAAAAAAGCTAAACAAGAAAATCACAAAAAAAAAAAAGAAAAAAAAGTCTCAGTCTAAAAAATTTAAAAAAGTCAAAAAAATAACTAAAAAAGTCATTACCAAACGAAGCTTTAAGGGTCTTGTTAATAGATATTTTTAATATATATATATATATAAACATTATTCACTTTTATTAAATTTAATGTACTTTTGATTAAAATCAATACATTTTTTAAAAATGTTTTTATCCATTTTTAATACCTCAATTTCAATATTAAACAATGTTCTAAAAACGTTCATTAGCATTCGCATTGATTTTTTTATTTTATTCTTTTAGATTTGAGTCATATAAGATATACAATAAAACTCAATTCGAATTACTAATCTCCTAGTGAGGTGTAGAAGTTTTGGTCAATCAGACTAACCCCTTTGGTGGATGATGAAGACTTGTCTGATGGCAAAGGATAGACAGGACCTTGTTGAAAGGATGGTTGTCATTTGTTGGTGTATCTGGAAGGTTAGAAATGACTGGGTTTTTAGTGGCAACCCAATTGCCCCTTCCAAAACGATAGAGCAAGCTAATAGAATATGGACATAATTGGTTGAATATCAAGGTCGAATTACAAGCTCCCAACATGTTGTTTCTGCTGCTAGCCCTGTCCTTCCTTCCTGGATCTCTTTGTTGCAAGATCAGCTCAAGGTTAACTGTTATGCTAGTTTCTTTAAGGATGGGTCCACATCCTCTATCGCTATGGTCTTGCGGGATTGGAAAGGTAGATCAATTGCTCCTTCTGTTTCTATAATTCCATTCTCTTCAGTTTCTCAAAGTGAAGCACGGGCGGTCCGTCTAGCTTGTCTGCTGGCATCCTCTTTTGGCCTTGCAAATCTCTAGGTAGGGAGCGACAACAAGCCTATGATTGAGTTGAGTGCATCTAAACTTGTTCCACCTTGGAAAAGTTTGGCAATCTTCTATGACGTACAAGCTTTTAGATCAAGATATGGGCTAGACTTTCGCTAGATTCCAAGGAGTGCCAACAGAGTGGCACAATGGTTAGCTTCGTGTGCTCTGAAGGGTACACTCCCTCTTGGTTGGGTTGGGAACCCACCTGCTAATTAGCTTGAAGCTCTTCTTGTTTTTGATTCTTCATTGTAGTCTTTTTGGCATTTCCTTGTTCAAAAAAAAAAAAACCTAACCCCCTTGGTTACATTTGCATTGATTTAATATAGGAAAATTGTTTGAAACTTCTAAAAATTAACTTCAAATGACAAGAATTATTATTAACTTATTTAGAAATCAATTAACTAAAATTCAATCTCTTATACCACATAAATGCTAGTAAATTTAGAGTTACTGTTTTAAGATGTCTAACACTACACTTAAAATAATTACTTAATATTGACATTTTAAAATAATTGACCCATCCTAATAATATTTTTATTTGAAATAGTAAGACTCAAAATCTTTTTCAGCATTCTAAATGAAGTTTTTGTATTACTATTTATTAAGGAATCATATGTGATTTCCTCTCAACATTGTATGATAAGGTCATAAATATTCAAAAGTAATTCATTCATTGAATTTGTGTCTAACTGAATCACTTGAATTTATATATGTTGGTCGACCGTCTGGACGAATAATCAAACGATCAGTGCGACTCTTGGTAACTGTAGTTGTTAGTCTTATTAACCACGGCGGTCAACTTTGTTGTTGGATGACTAGCCGGACGATTGGCATACACAAATTCGCACAATTCGAACAAATCAAAATTCGATAAATGTAACATTGTTCATAAATATTTTATCACTTTAAAATGTATTTTTTTCCCCTCTTATCTCAAATCATCTACCCAACCCACCATATATCAAAATTGATTTTTTTTTTTCAATTAATAATTAATATATCATGTATTCCAAAAAAATTTAAACATAAATCACTTCATGTAATCTGTAAACCTTTAATTTTAAATTTTAATAATGTATTACAACTTTATATATTAAAATAAAAATTTCACTTAAATACTAATCCAACGAGTCAAGAGCCTCTCCTTGCAAGCTTGTGCTTGCGTCCGTCCTTGCAGGCATTCGGGTCTACTTTTAGGCCCAAGTAGACCCGAAGGCCTGCAAGGACGGGCGCAAGCACAGAAGCTGCAAGGAGAGAGGATCCTCACTCCTAATCCAACACCATCACTCTAACTAGTATTGATTACTTACAATAATTGATTGCATAAATTTGATTTTGTCAACTTTAATGTTGGGATTAGGACATTGAGATTCAAAATCAAGTAATTTAGGACCAAATCCACTAATAACTACTCAAGAAAATGGTAACGAAGGTTCGTGCCGTATGATGATTTCAATCTATTAAAAAAACAAAAAAAAAAATTATATAGCCATTTTTGGCTCACCAAACCCGCTTACCTACCCCCCTCCACGATCTCTCTCTACCCATCACAATCCCGCCGTTAACAAGTAACGCCGTTAACCGCCTCACTCAAGCTCACCAACTCCACGCACACCCACTCCAACACACCCACACGCTCACCTAACGTCTTCCCTATTATAAATACCGCAACATCTACCACCCTTCTCAACCATCATTACTCACCACTCTATCATACGCCATTATTCCCTCTAACCTACGCCAATATGGATCTTCTCCTCCTAGAGAAGAGCCTCTTGGGCCTCTTCGTCGCCGTAGTCCTTGCCATCACCATCTCTAAATTGCGCGGCAAGAAGTTCAAACTCCCTCCGGGTCCCATACCCGTGCCCGTATTCGGCAACTGGCTCCAAGTCGGTGATGACTTGAACCACCGCAACTTGACCCAATTAGCCAAGCGGTTCGGCCAGATATTCCTGCTCCGAATGGGCCAACGCAACCTGGTCGTGGTCTCTTCCCCGGATCTCGCCAAAGAAGTCCTCCACACCCAGGGGGTCGAGTTCGGGTCCCGAACCCGGAACGTGGTATTCGATATTTTTACGGGTAAGGGTCAGGATATGGTGTTCACTGTATACGGTGAGCACTGGAGGAAGATGAGGAGGATCATGACGGTTCCTTTTTTTACCAACAAGGTGGTGCAGCAGTACAGGTTCGGGTGGGAGGACGAGGCGGGTCGGGTCGTGGAGGATGTGAAGAAGAACCCGGAAGCGAAGACCAATGGGATCGTGCTGAGGAGGCGGTTGCAGCTGATGATGTACAATAACATGTACAGGATTATGTTTGATTCGAGGTTCGAGAGCGAGGAGGACCCGTTGTTCGTGAAATTGAAGGCGTTGAATGGAGAGAGGAGTAGGTTGGCTCAGAGCTTTGAGTATAACTACGGCGATTTTATTCCGATTTTGAGGCCGTTCTTGAGAGGGTACTTGAAGATCTGCAAAGAAGTTAAAGAGAGGAGGTTGCAGCTTTTCAAGGACTATTTTGTCGATGAAAGGAAGTATGTTTGTTTCATTTCCTTTATTTATTTATTTTTATTCCAAAAATATAAGATTTATATATACTAATCTTGATATAGGATTGTTTTTGAGAATTCATTATTTTAATTTTCTATAATAACAAAAAAAAAAATGTATAAAAAACGTAAAGAGACAGTTGATTTTAATTGACTTTTTTAATTATTGTTAAAACAAACTAATATATTATTTGGTTATTAGTAGTGTGATTTTTTTATTTTATTTTATTTTAGCTAAGCAGTAAAAGATTAATTACAAATTTGAAAATAATTTTAACAAAATTTGATAATTATAGTCCTAACAATAAATAGTCCGATAATTAGTTAATAGGAGTAGTTATTTAGTTATTTGGTGGTGTCAAAAGGAAACACAAATACAATAGGTCCTACTGTTTCAACCTGCATAAAAAGTTGCGTGAAATACCACTTGAATTTGCCTGAGATGGTATAGTTTTCCAACTCAATACAATTTTCATGACGCAACTTATGGAAAATGTTAGAGTTCTTAAATTTTTTATCAAATAAATAATTAAATATTTCACATGTGAGACCCACAAAATTGCGGACCCCACACACATGCATGTAAAATATTTGATTATTTATTTAGTAGAAAATTTGATGTCCCTATCATTACCTCGCAACTTATTGCTATGCTAGCCTAGGAGTTGCAGTTGTTTTCTTTAATGTTTGTTTTTTCTATCATTTTTGAAATATTTTTATTATAAGGTAAGATAGTGACTAGGATTGTATGTGTATACGTATGGGTATGGGTTAAACACGTTGCTTGTTTTTGAGGTTATAGAGACCTGCAAGCAAACAAATATGTGACATGAGCCGCCTCCATCATGGCACATTTGTGACATTATTTTTTGGAACCTTGTTATTTGGAATATACTTTTAAAAAAAATATATAAAATGTTAGTTAAGATTAAAATGATATTTTAAAAAATATATATAAAATGTCAGTTAAGATTAAAATGATATAGTAAAGTGTTGATGTGATTCAAATAAAATAATATTACAAAAGAATTAATTAATGATACGTGGTGCCTAGAAAAATGATTTGGTCAAAATAATTTGTTTTAAAATTTTCATATGTATATATTGAATAATTAATTAATTTGTTTTGTTATTTTTTAATGATTGCATAACAGGAAGTTAGCAAGCACGAAGAGCATGGACAACAATACTCTAAAATGTGCGATTGATCATATTTTGGATGCTCAACAGAAGGGAGAGATCAACGAGGACAACGTTCTTTACATCGTCGAGAACATTAACGTCGCTGGTATTTATTTAAATTCTTTCCCTTTTGCTTTATTTCTTTCTTTTTCTCGATAAGAAATAGGTTATATAATATAAGAAGAAATAAGCAACTCTCAATGATTAATCCAACTAAATTACTCCAATTGGATGTTCAATACATAGTTGCACCATACTATTGCACCACATCATTATAATATTAATCGTCATCTATCCATCTATATTGCCATGAGTCTCAAATTTAAAAAAAGATAAACTATTAATTGATCTTAATAGTTTTAATTTCATCAAATCTTAATAAAATATCATCGTTAAATATAATTTTTTTATGATGTTTTTTTATATATGTTGCTAAAAATTGATAATTATTGATTTTTTTATCACGATTTTTATAAATCTTCAGTAAAACTTATAATTAGTGACTTTTTTTGTGATGAATATTTTAAATGATCGCTGAAATATGTATATATTGAATAATTAATTAATTTGTTTTGTTATTTTTTAATGATTGCATAACAGGAAGTTAGCAAGCACGAAGAGCATGGACAACAATACTCTAAAATGTGCGATTGATCATATTTTGGATGCTCAACAGAAGGGAGAGATCAACGAGGACAACGTTCTTTACATCGTCGAGAACATTAACGTCGCTGGTATTTATTTAAATTCTTTCCCTTTTGCTTTATTTCTTTCTTTTTCTCGATAAGAAATAGGTTATATAATATAAGAAGAAATAAGCAACTCTCAATGATTAATCCAACTAAATTACTCCAATTGGATGTTCAATACATAAAGTTGCACCATACTATTGCACCACATCATTATAATATTAATCGTCATCTATCCATCTATATTGCCATGAGTCTCAAATTTTAAAAAGGATAAAATATTAATTGGTCTTAATAGTTGAATTTAATTTCATCAAATCTTAATAAAATATCATTGTTAAATATAATTTTTTTATGATGATTTTTTATATATGTTGCTAAAAATTAATAATTACTGATTTTTTTATCACGATTTTTATAAATCTTCAGTAAAACTTATAATTAGTGACTTTTTTTGTGATGAATATTTTAAATGATCGCTGAAAGTTAATAATTAGTGACTTTTGTGTGACAATTTTTTTAAATTGTCATTAAAATTTATATTTAATAATATTTTTTTTTTGATAATTTATAAGTTGTCTCTGAAAATTAATAATCAATGATTTTTTTAATAAGATTTGTTAAAAAATATTATTAAATCTAACAAATTCTATTAAATAATAAATTTATTTATTAAAATTTAGGGCAAATTACATATACCCCTCGAGGTTTGGCTAAATTACAAATACCTCCCTGAGGTTTGAGAAATTAGAAATTCCCCCCTGAATGTTATATTTGCATAACAAATTAGGGGGTAATTTGTTATGAAATTTAAACCTCAGAGGGCAAATTGTTATGAAAATACAAACCTTAGAGGTGGGATGTAATTTCTGAAATCTCAGGAAGTATTTGTAATTTAACTAAAACTTAAAGGAGGTATATGTAATTTGTCCTAAAATTTACAGGTAATCTGCAAAAGTGTTGTCAGAAAAAAAACCTTGTGTGTAGTGGAAATGTCAAAACTTTAGGCGGGTTTGTTGACCAGTATTATATGATATAAAATACAGTGGGGGGTTGAGTGGCGGTTGAGCTGTCATTCCTAAACAATTGGTTTGTTTTACAAGTCAGTCCATCTCTATCTTACATTGACGTGGATTAATAATATATTTGTATTATTATTATTATTATTTTCTTTGTTATCATAATTTGCTTTTGAAGAATTCATGAATATTTGCAAAACTTAAAAGGGATTGGATTATTTCTAGCTAATTATTATTAGTCATATCATATGCTCTATTTTGATAATACAGTTAAAAATTAGTTTTTTAATTTTTTTTTATATTTTTAAGTTATATTATTTTTTTATATTTTTTTGCATATTCATTTTAAAAAAAATCAAAAAAATTAAAAATTCAATTTTTAACCTATTTCTCAATTCCATCATTGGTTGCTTTATTTTAGAAAGTTAAAATAAACCATATGTTAATGGTTTAATTACTTCCTAAATTTGCTTATTCGCGTATCATTTCATTTCTTCTTATTATTTTTTATGAGTCTTTTGTTCCTGTTTTTTCATTAATTTATTACTATTTGTTTCTCTTTCTTTCATCTTTTGATAAATTTTTTTAAAGACATATTGGTAATACAAGAATTATTGTGGAGTGGAGGTCCGGTTCAAATCCCATGGACTACTAGGTGAGATAGGGACTTTTAAAATCGATGGCAACCCGACCAACCAATCATGGTTTGGTTGGTGGGCACTACGTCACATGTCATCTATAACTGAGTCCTCTAAAGCAAAAATGCTAGAGGTCTCAAAAATTTTATCAAAAATTTTACCAAATGTCTCACATGGGTGTGAGACCTGCATGGTAAAACTTTTATAGAATATTTGGGGTCTTTAGCATTACTCCCTCTAAAGAGATTAGGTTTGAGCGTTGTGGAATTTAATCATTGAAAGCGCATTCTCATCCAACACACCCAACTTTGGGTCCGTTTAATTATGTTTTCTTAATAGATATTGAATTCTCTTACGATTTAGGCACAAGCTCTATTAAAAAGGAGTAATGTTAAAGACTCTAAAAAGATTATAAAAAAATTTACGATTCAAAAAACCAAAGTCGCATGCAATTGTAATTTTTCATCCAAAATTATAACATCTTGTTGATTGAGCTAAACTGATTAAATTAAATTTTTAAAAAAAAAAATAAAATTGTATCACAATTAGAATACAAATTGGCAGTAGTGGGGAAGGGTGGGAGAGGGACTTCAGGTGGAGGGAGAGGCTGGGGCTGTGGTCTTTGGTGGTAGTGGCAGTGGGAGACTTTCAAAGGGGAAAGGGAAGAGAGGGGAACAAAAAAAAGTGAGGGACATTTTTGTTTTCCTAAACCCAGATTCCATGGCTTTGAATTTTTTTTCCTTTTTCATTCCATATATGTTCAAATCTTGGAAAAACTTCACACTGAATTGAGAATAGTTTTCCTTTTTTTGCATTTATTTTATATTTCCCCAAAATAAAAAGTGGCATTATTCAATATTTGCAAATATTAAGCCTGCTAGTGTTTTGTTTCCGTGATTTAATGATTTTTCCCCCTTCTTTTTCTATTGAGGATTGTTTTACCAACATGATTGATCTAATGTGCCAAAATGTCTGCCATGAAACAGCAATTGAGACAACATTATGGTCGATAGAATGGGGCATAGCAGAACTTGTAAACCACCCCCAAATCCAGAAAAAGCTTCGGCACGAACTTGACACCATGCTTGGCCCTGGAGTCCAAATCACCGAGCCAGACACCTACAAACTCCCCTACCTCCAAGCTGTAGTCAAAGAGACCCTCCGCCTCCGGATGGCAATTCCCCTCTTAGTCCCCCACATGAACCTCCACGATGCAAAGCTCTCTGGCTATGACATCCCTGCTGAGAGCAAAATCTTGGTAAACGCGTGGTGGCTTGCAAACAACCCTGACAACTGGAAGAACCCAGAAGAGTTCAGGCCCGAGAGGTTCTTGGAAGAGGAGGCTAAGGTTGAGGCCAATGGCAATGACTTTAGGTACCTTCCGTTTGGTGTCGGAAGGAGGAGTTGCCCTGGAATTATCCTTGCTCTGCCAATTCTCGGCATCACTTTGGGAAGGTTGGTTCAGAATTTCGAGCTCTTGCCTCCTCCGGGACAGGCCAAGATTGATACTGCTGAGAAGGGGGGACAGTTCAGCTTGCATATTTTGAAGCACTCGACCATCGTTCTGAAACCAAGATCGTTCTGATTTTCATAAATTTATGTTTTTGTTTTATTGTGTTTTGAAAGTGGGGTGGGGGTTGAGAAGGAATTGGGGAGATGTTGATCTGTGTGTGATTGTAAATCTCTGTTGATGTGCAAGGACAATTCAGAAGTTTGCAAGGAGTATTTTTCTATGTCTCTGTATGTGATTACCAGTTAAAGATTGAATATAAAATCAAAACTAGTGAAAATATATTTCCCATTGCTATTTTACTCACTTGGCACAAAATGAGAAGGCGATATAAAAAACAAGATAATCCGAAGAATCCTTTACTCAATGGATGGATCAAAGTGAATTATTGATGATGGTGCCTCACAAATTCTATGCTATGGAGTAATTATCCAGCTTTTTGAGGACACTACGGAATCATGTGATTATCCAATAATTTTCTGACTTAGGCATCGGAGAGGTTTCCGGCACACACCCGCCGGCTAGCTCACGTTTGTGTTTTCAGGTGACAAAGCGACGTCGTACGGAGGAGCGTGGACTTGGTCAACAGGATTATACGAGGAGAATTATTTCCTCCCCGTACATAAGCTATGGAGTAATTATCCAGCTTTTTGAGGACACTACGGAATCATGTGATCATCCAATAATAGGGGAGGTATGCAATCACGCTAGAGAAAGAAAAAAAAGAAAAAAAAAAAACAATTTGAACACATGACTATCAATAACTGAACTGATACATGGTCAAGCTAATTTTCCCTATGGTATGGCACTTGAAGTGAAGATTTAACTCACTCTTTTCGCTGCTAAAGTATTCCAATAGTGGGGAGTTTATCTGTGTCTATAATTTCATAGTACGAAAATGTGTTCGGCTGGTTTTTCATGAAATATGGTTATTAATGGCATGACCACTCTCTACTTGATTCTTGCTGATAACATCATGAAATATTGGTGTCTTGAAGATGAGGTGAGGAGCATCATAGGAATTGACTCTGTTTTAGGATATCGAACTATAGAGGAAGCTGTAGTGGAATCAAACTCAAGTCAAGGGAGATAAAAAGGCACAAAAATAGAATACTGATCAAAAGGCCGGTTCAGATCCTGTCCTGCCATTCTCTCCGGCCCTTCCTCCCCGGTGGGGGATTGGGCCACGTCACTCCTCTGCGGCCCAGATTAGCTAAAAAAAAAATTCCTACTGAAAAGGGGGGCGGCAGATTGGGCCAGGTCACTCCTCTGCGGCTCAGATTAGCTCAAAAAAAAAACAGTGAATAAATAATTTCACCTCTATCAAACTAGTTATCAAGTTAGCCATTTTAATTTAGATAAATTACAAATACACCCCTTAAGATTTGCTTAAAATACGAATTGCCCCCTATAGTTTGGAAAATTACAAATACCTTCCTGTCATAATTTTTTATTTAACAGAATTAATTAAAAAAGTGAAATTTCTAACTGTTCACCTATACAATAAAAAAAATTATTTGAATTATTAATTGAAATAACATTTTAATATTATTAAAAACTGTTAATTAACTTGATTATTTATTAATAAAATGGCCTATTTGTTATGAAAGTAGAAACCTTAGGGGACATAATGTAATTTCTAGAACCACATAGAGTAATTTGTAATTTAAGTAAACCTCAGGGGATGTATTTCTAATTTACCCTTTTTTTAAAGGAAATAAAAAACAAACAAATCCAATCCGTGCATAGGTGCAAATCAAATACAATATGTTTTTTTTATTCTCATATGATTTTTTTTTTAAATGAAGATTGTTTTTGAGAATTTCAAAAATATATGATTTTTGTGTGTTTATTTCATCAAATTAGTTTTTATATTTAAAAAACAATAATTTCAAAACATAACTAAGCATAATAATTACTTTATTTATTTTAACTTTTTATTAAATATATTTAATATTAGTCTCATTTTAAAGGTATATATATTCATTGATATTAATTTTATAAAATTAAAATTTTGTATTAAAAATTTTATATATATATATATATATATATTATGAAAATTATTATGAAAATTGATAGGGTAATTTGTAAGCAAATTGGGCCGAGCTAGGAAAGTCTTATTTGGAAGTTGGGCCGCGCAATGGGCTGAGATAAGGGTTGGCATAGCTCGGTCTTAGGCCAAGAAGACATCTCATATTACGGATTTGGACCGAATTATGGGCCGAGGTGTTTGGGCTTCGCAAGTTGGACCTCGTCTTTGTTAGTTCGGTCGGAGACTGCTGTAGTTAGCTTGGTCTAAACAGACAAAACCGAGGTATCAGTGGGGGGAGAACCGAGCTAAATGATAGCTCTGTAGGGCGTCATCTCAGAGTCAAGACTGATAGTGGTGCTTAAAGTATCACCGAGCCGAAATAACCTGGTTGATCGCAATGTCAGCCGAGGTAAAGGAGGTAACATCAATGGCGAGGGCTGAGCTGTGTATAGCTCGGCAGGGTGGCATTCGATATATTGGCTTTCAATCACACGGTCCGAATGACAGGGGACCGAGATAAGGCAGTTCGATCAGAAATGTATAACCGAGGTAAAGGGTTCAGCCATCTCACTTGGCTTGCAGTGATGAGACTCCTAGTAGGACTCTGCTAAGGAGAGCTAGAGTCATACTGGGATTGTACAAACCATCTCACTTGGTTGGTAGTGAGTAGGAGTATGACTCCTAAGAGGACTCTGCTAAGGAGAGTAAAGTCCTGCTAGGATTGTGCAAAACCATCTCACTTGGTTGGTAGTGAGTAGGGTGTGTGATTCCTAGGAGGACTCTCATAGGGAGAGTTGGAATCCTACTAGGAATGGGCCAAACAGAGTCTATAAAAGCTCACGACCAGACCTATGTACATGTATCCCAATTCTTACTCCAGAATACACAGAGCTCATTGTCTATTGTCTAGTTGCTGACTTAGGCATCGGAGGGGTTTCCGACACACACCCGCCGGTTAGCTCACGTTTGTGTTTTTAGGTAGCAAAGCAACGTTGTTTAGAGGAATGCAAGCTTGATCAACAGGATCATACGAGAAGAATTATTTCGTGCTCGTACAATTGGCGCCGTCTGTGGGAATTTTCACAAAGAGCAAAACCTTTTGATCAAGTTTTCCTCTCTAGTTGAAAACAATGGCGCACAATGAAGACTTGTCGCAATCTGCTATTGATGGACAAACACCGGAAGGGGGTGGGAGGCGCGAAAGTTTACCTTCTATCTCACCCATGGCGGAATTAGATCCCCTGCGAAGGAATCCACAGAGAGAAGCGAGAGAAAGACAAGGCTCAAGTCCACACCGCTCTTAAAGCCCTGATAGACAAAGGCGGAAGATGGATCCTCAGGTTCTCGAAGATCGTTTAAGGGAGCAAGACGAAGTAATAAGAAGAATGATGGCTGACATAGAGTCTATGAAGAGCTGGATAAAAGGCAAAGGGATGGCAATAAAAGAGGGGTGCAAAGGCAACACACACTCTAGCTACTCAGAAGATCATGACAGACAAGTCACACTATCACAAACTGAAAGTAGAAGCCTCAGGTCGAACGATACACAATCAAAGACTTCTAGGACACGCTACTCCAGGCCTGAGAGAATGAGGACTGAAAGGGCTCGAAAGAAAGAAGACACTCAGGCTCGCGACCCCCGCAGAGTTTCCGCATTACAACGATTGGTTCCTAGAACACATGGGAGTGCCGAGGTAGGAATACCAAAGCCGCGCCTTGCCTATGAACCAGCAGACAAAGTGTTAGCAAGGTTACAGAGCTTGTCGTTCGTTCCGGCAATTGAGGACGCACCATTACCCTCAGGCTTCCACCTGCCCAAATTCACTACTTATGAGGGGAAGTCGGACCCCTACATACACTTGAGCCACTTTCGCTAGGTTATGGCCGTGTATCGGCGAAACGAGACTCTGATGTGTATCTTGTTTCCTTCTAGCCTTGGCGACATGGGTTTAACATGGTTTGAAAGGTTGCCAGAAAGCAACATAGCTTCATGGACGCAACTAGCGGAGGCATTTATGACCAGATTCAGAACGAACACCAAGACACCAATGGAGATTGACCAGCTTCTCTCCATAGACATGGGCGAGAAAGAAACATTGAGGTCTTACAATAACCAGTATTGGAAGACTTTTAATCAGATTGGAGATTGCCCTACAAACCTAGCTATCGCACAGTACAAACGAGGTTTACCGGCTGGCAATAAGTTGAGGGATTCAATGACAATGACGCCGCCCCTTACTATGGAAGCCCTAATGGAGAGAGTGCACCAACACATCCGGGCAGAGGAAGATGAGGCGCGCACCAAGGTAGAGTCCGGCACAACAGTGATACTAGACAAAAAACATTTTGGCCAGAGTTAACACGGTTAACAAGTAGGATTGACCGTGCAAAAGTCTTTGCCCGACTAGGGGGCAATTAGGAAGGTTGGCAGGATTGGCCAACTCTTTCTAAATAAGTCTTTGCCCTACTGGGGGGCAACAAAAAAGGTTGGCAGGTTTGACCAGCACTTTTTTCTTTCCTAAGCCGAGGATAAGGATCTAGGCTGCAGGACATTTGGCAGGAATAACCAAACACTTCGCTCTAAGTTGGCAGGAATAACCAACTTTGAGCTCTCTTCAGCTAAGATCAGGATCTGGGCTGAAGAGGTTGGCTGAAAAAACCAACACTTACTTTTCCTAAGCCGAGGATAAGGACCTAGGCTGCAGGACGTTTGGCCGGAATAACCAAACACTTTACTCTAAGTTGGCAAGAATAACCAACTTTGAACTATCTTCAGCCAAGATTAGGATCTAGGCCGGAGAGGGTTGGCTGGAAAAACCAACATTTTGTTCTCTTCAGCCGAGATCAGGATCTAGGCTGGAGAGGGTTGGCTGGAAAAACCAATACTTTGTTCTCTTCAGTCGAGATCAGGATCTGGGCTGGAGAGGGTTGGCTGGAAAAACCAACATTTTGTTCTCTTCAGCCGAGATCAGGATCTAGGCTGGAGAGGGTTGGCCGAAATAACCAACACTTCGTTCTCTTCTCCCTGTTTGAGGCTTCCTTTTTACACTTGCTTCTTTACCTCTCTTGTATGCCTCTTTCTTGCATAGTATTTTAGGCTCATTTGTAAATTGTTTCGAGCTTGGTTATAAACTGAAAAGTGGCTTATTTTCAGCCCTTCTTCAACATTGTTGAAGGGCTCTTTACTGTTTGAGGCTTCCTTTTGTCACTTGCCTCTTTATCCCTCTTTTGGCCTTATTTTTGCATGTTTTGTTATCCC